TTAAAAATAATATCTGAAGGGTTATTGGTAATTATTGAAAGAGTCCAAGGGTAAATTGTCATTGAACAAGAAAAATAATTAAATAATAGATTAATGGGTATTATAATACCCATGTGAATCATGATTTGGGGAAATATAGTTTCGAGAATTATCTTCTTTTCTTCTTCTTCTCCCAAACGTGAAGAACCATAAACAAATGTGAGTTTCTTGATTTCTTGATTATTTGTTGATTTTAAGTATGGGTTTTTATCCTTCGGTGATAATTAAGCTTAAGGAAAGCTTATTTTGTCTTAAAATCAAAAGATGAAGAAGTTATGAAAGATTAAAGAAAATGGGTTTCAAAGTGAATTTCTGAAAAGAGTTAATAAATGAACTTTGAGATGGAATTTGACTTGTCATATGTGTGAATAAGAAGTGATAAGTGTTAGAATTAAGTTTGGATAACATGGAAAATTGGGTATGATTCTTAATTTTAAGAATCATGATGAGAAATGGAAGATAAAGATAGTTTATATGGATATAAGTTGGTTTAAGCAATAGTAGTTGAGTTTAATGGTATGAAAGGAGCTTAGTATAAGGAAATTTAATGAAAAGTTGTAGAATTTTCGGGTGAAACCAGTTTATTATTGATAGGTGCATCAATGCACTATGAGTGTGTACCGATGCACTAAGACAAAATTTGAAGGTACATCGATGCATTAAGGGGTGCATCGATGTATGAAAATTTTGAAGCTATTTTGTGTACCGATGCACCCATAGTGCATCGATACACCCCTAAAGGAAAATAGAATTTTGGTTCATTAAACTAGCTTAAGTTATTAACATCAAGTTTAAGGTTTAGGCTTCTGATAATTGTTTTGAAAATTATATTTATGTAGATACAGAGCCTAAACAAGTTCCCGAAAATAATCAAAGAATTAGGATCGAATCAAAGCAAGGCTAAGGTGAGAGAAATTTAATTTGTACTTATGTTATTGAATGATCATTGGCTTGCGATGAGCTAGTGACGGAGTTACTGTGGTAAGAAGTGACTCCTAAAATATTATTCGATTTGTGATTGACATGATACTTACGTGGCATGAGTGTATGTGATATATATATATATATATATATATATATATATTATTGCATATGTTACATGAAGGGTGTGATTGCATGTTATATGATATAAGAATAAGACATGAATCAAATGATATATATGTTTATGTGAATCCATGCAAAGTGATACAAGTTATGTGACATATGAATATGAATTCATATGAAAAGTGATATGAATTACATGAAAGTAAACTATGCGATTATATGCACATGTGATATGTGATCATAAGAGCAATCATATAAGTACATGAATATATGAAGCAAAAGAAAAATGCCCATGTTATATGATACGAGAGCTATAGGTATAGTTGACATGCCAAGAGTAGAGGGTCTACGCGGTCCTTCGGGAAAATTCTACGTGGTCTTTCGGGACATATATATAATTCCGTGGAATATGTATATTGTACTTTGGTACACTTATTTGGTCCATTGTATTATGTATATGGTTATTAAGGAGTAGTCTTTCGGGACATATGTGATATGTGGTCCTTTGGGACATAGTGGTCTTTCGGGACATTTCTACGCGGTCCTTCAAGACAAATATTCAGTGCCCCTAGTGGGAATTTATACGAGCTGTGGTGACAGCATTAGTGCACAACCTCAATGTACTCACATACCTTCAGTTCTCAACAGTGTACATGAGCTAATAAAGAAATTTAATAAGTATACTGAATATGATATGTATATGTGATTTGTTATGTGGAATAGATCACAGGATTTATGTAATGGTGTATTGCTTGGTTAATCCATGATCTGTATAGAAATGTTAGTATATGTTTATATGATAAAAAGAATTAGTGACATGTGTACACTGGGTTAATAAGAGATAATAACAAATACACTATATGTGATATGTATATTTGGTAATATGAAATATGTTATAGAAATTACATGATGATATGTTTATTCCTTGGTATAGTGATATATGTGTTATATGATGAATATATGGTAAGTAAAAGGGATTAATGATAGTATTTGTAGATGTATGCCTTTTATTTATATGAAATGGGTATATTATATGTTTTATATGCCTCACTAAGTCATCGACTTAGCGTGTGATTGTTTCACACGTAGGTTTGGAAAGCGAAAAAGAGAAGTAAAGAGGAACAAGACATGTCAGTTCTCCTTACCGAAGATTAGATCAGAAATATAAATAGAATTGCATGTATTTTGTTAGAAAGAATTTAGTTGGCATGTAATAAATAAAAAAATTTGTATTGGATACGCTCTGATCGAGTTTTGGAATGTTTTAAACATATTTATATAAATGTAAATGTATAGTAATGAATGGTTAAATTTTTACGAGTTTTATGAACGTTTTACGAAAGTTACTGTATTAGTATTGTAGTACTGTTCATGGTACTGTAGCATTGTTTATGGTATTGTTCACGGGACTGTTCATGCCATATTTTACTGTTTATAAATACATTTTTGACTTGAATTTTTATACTGAAACATAATTTAATAAAATACTGTGGTATTTTCTTAAAAAGAGTTCAAATGTTTGAATATTTTGTAAGATTATCGTTTTTAAAAGTTAATGTGACATCTTGGACTCGTATCCGGGACATTTACGGGTTGGGGTGTTATAATTTCGCCATCAATAAACGTCTTATAAAGACATAAAAATTAAAATAGTATAAAAATTCAAGTCTTATATAATTATATAAATATATACAAATATAATAATTTAATGTGGACGTTTCATCACCTGCTGCTACATATGTAGAAGCATTGTCGGTTACCACCTGAAATACATTCTTCTCACCAACCTCCTCAACCATATCATCAAGCATAATAAACAATTGTTCGGTATTCTTCACATACTTTCTCCCGTAGTTGTTTTTTACATGCTTCATTGATGCTTGGTTGCTTCATTTTCCCATCTTTTCTGTTTTTCACAACTTGTTCGGGTGGTGGGGTGAAAAACATATCAATTGGTCCTTTAATGCCCTTTTGCTTCTTTGATGCTTTACTAGTACTATTACCACTTTTGCAAACACATGTGTACCAACTTCAACAACTTCATCATCCTCGTCATCCCCAAAGTTGTCTACATCATCCAAATCATATAAAACTTCAGTTTCTTTTTTATTTTGACATTTTTTCTCCATGTATTCTCTAATCTCTTCACGTACATGAGCTGAACATTTTAGACATCTTGTACTATTCTGGTATCCACCCACTATATGTTGTTTACCCCTATAAATACCTCTGGAAGTGATTTTGTCACAAAACATACATTTTACTTTACCTTTGCCCATGTCAATGCAATACTTCGAAGCTATATCTTGCTTTGAAGAAGTTGATGACTGATTTTCATAAGTCATAATGTCAAACCAGATTTTCCAAAAGCAAAATATTGATGATTAACAGCTGCAATATTGTCCCAGAAGCCAGAAAAATAAAAATAGAAAATTAAATAAGAGAAACTGTGATTATCAAGAACAGACACATACGCACGAATAACTGCATACTTAGAAAAGAAAAGAAAAAACAAGAACAGACAAATACGAATAACTACATACTTAGAAAAGAAAAAAAACAAGAATAGACACATACACACGAATTGCGGTGATTATCAAGAGAATTTGATTAAGAAGAACAAAATTCTTTCAACACAGATGGTTAACAGTATAAATCGAATGATCAATCAAAGAACATAATCACTTACGAGAAGAATTGAATATGTGAATCGATTAATCGAAGTGTTGCTGCTGTCTTGTTCAATGTCACAGTCACCAGTCGAAGAAAAGGAGGAAGCAGTCGATCGATAGGTTAGTATGTGTGGATTAGAAGGTCGATTGAGGGTTTTAGGGTGTCGGCCCATATGAGAGAAGGCCATGTAGTAATAATTACAAGGTTTTAAGCCCACATCGTGCCTCAATTGCGCCTCGACTGAGTCTCGCACCTCAGAGCCTCGCTGCTCCTAGGCTACGTGCCTCGCTTCACTGTTGAAAAAGCCCCATTCAGTGAGTCTTTGCGCTTTTGCGCCTCATGCGCACTTTTTACAATTTTGGTACCATCAACTACCAGGACCCGAAAAAGATGATGAATAAAAAATATTCACATCAGATTGTGCATCAAGACATTTCCTCATCACAAGTGATTTAACTAGGCTTAAAAAAATTATATATATATATATATATATTTTTTTAATTATTTTGGTATTGAACATTTGATCGATTGAACCTCCATCGACTACCCAACCAGTAGATGAACCCCTAATTGAGGCGATTCGACAAATCTCTAAATGAGGTAACCCAATGACTCCGATGACTACACAGACAAAAACGGTTGGCAAGGGCCACGTGACGGTCGTGGTTAGTAAGGGAGAAGGTAAATTTAGGGTTAGGATTTGAGGCTTTTCGTAATTTTAGAAAAAATGAGATTTTTTTTATAAATATAATAATTTTTTTAATATTTTTGTTATAAAAAAATAGAATTACCATAGCATGAACCGTGTTACTTAACGAGATTTTTTAACGACTGTTACGCCCTGAATAACCTTTAGAACGTTAGACACCTGGATGATTCAAAAATGTTTGGACGCATATTTAGAAAAAAGGGTATAATTTAGCTAGATACTTATTTTATAATCAAGCCATTTAACTACCATAATTGAAAACAATAAGAGAGATATCAGGAGAGAATATACAATTAGATTATTTTCTCCTCTTTCTTTTGTTTTAGAAGAAGATATGGCGTGATTAATTGGAACTACTCAGTAACCAACGAAAGGGAAATTAACCACAGGTTTTATTTCATGTCCTTTTGTGGGAACTCGGTGGCGTTTCTGATGTTCTTTGTTTGACTTCTTCCCCCCCCCCCCCCCCAACTTCATTATCTTCTTCAAGGATTCTATTTTTACCGTCGTTTGCAGCCATATCGTGTCGGAAAAGAGGCTATTAATAATGTTCTTCCCTTATCTGGTTTCCTTTTTCTTTACTATAATTTCTGCACAAAACTTGCATTAATTTGTCCTTCCACGTTCCATCATTTCAGCAGAGTGCGAGACAACGCTTATATTAAGCTGTCAATTCATTCACTGAAACGCCTATTGTGCTCTTCATCAAAATGGTTGCTACTCACAGTTTCATACTTTGCCCAAGCCATTCCCACTTTTTCCTTATTTTTCTCTTGATTTTAAGCCCGACCCATGGTAGATACAAAACTGAAGGTACGTAATCAAGCATCTTATTCATCACAACCAATAAGTTTTGAAAAAAATATTTTTTTAATCCAAACTTGTTCTTGATTTTCAGGTAGGCCAACCCCCAAATTTGATAGCTTTTCCAAGGCAAGCCACCAACAGTCAATTTGCAGGGAAAAAGAACTGTGTTTCATTCTCCGATTATCATACAATGAATGCTAATAATGTTTCTTCTTCTTCTTCTTCTTCTTTTTCTTACGTTGGATAGGCAGTAAATGAAGAAAAGGAAATAATGAGAGGTCGGATAGGGTCAAGGCCGCCAAGGTGCGAGAGAAGATGCAGCTCATGCGAGCATTGTGAAGCCATTCAAGTGCCTATAGATCCACCACTCAGACATGGCAACATGAATATTTCAACACTCAACTTTGATGCTGCTTACGCTAGAGGAGTTGATAATTCCAACTACAAGCCCATGAGCTGGAAATGCAAATGTGGGAACTTCATTTTCAACCCCTGACAGAAACTGATATTTAGGTCGTCGCGTCGAAAACCTAATTTTGCACCTTGTAAATCATGTGTAAGATAATATATAGATTTGATTTAGTATTGTTCTCTTGCTTGTGAGATTCAATGTTTGACAATGTTGCACCTTCATAGTTCATACTGCTATTCTCATTACATTATATCAGTCTATTAATCTATTATCATAGATGAGAAACTTCTATATTTTTGGAGAATATTGTCATGAAATTGTTAAATCTCTGTTAATAACGATTCTGGAAGACCTCTCTCCCTTAGTAGAACTTTCAGAAGTTATCCGGAGATATAACAAGTCATCTTTGTAATTATCGTCGATCAAGATTATTTCTTAATAGAATCAAATTTAACAGTTGTCAGTAATTAATGTACGGTCAACTTATTAATAAAATGATAAACCTGATTAACAAAATAAATTTATTTCCATAAACAAAAATCAATTGTTAAAACTCGACGAGATATTTAAGTGACAATTTTTTATATTGGTCTTTATCTTTTTACTTCCATTTGGATATGCTACAAAACAAGGGTAGTTTTGTTGTACAAAAGTTTAATATACAGTTAAGAAAAGAAGTTATCGTAAATGTTAATATTTTTTTAATATTTTTGATAAAAAATTATCTAAAATATTATTTTTTTATATTAAAAATGATAATTTTACTACCTAATTTCCGATAAAAAAAATAATATTTTAAATAACGTTATACCAAAAATATTAAAAAAAATATTAATATTTCTAAAAATATCTTTTATTAACTATATATTATACTGTATTTCCTTATACATCTCTTACAAAATACAATTCAAGCATATTCATGTAGCGATGATTAGACAGGACTTTGGTTCCATACGTACTGCAATTTTGGCTGTTTAAATCAATCAACTAAACAGTAGCTAGCTAAGTTTGCAAACTACCAAATTCCTGAATGACGACAGATAAATTGAAGGCCCGACAAGGCTGCAACGACCAAAAGTCATGGGTCATAGCTACGTAAAAAACAATCAATTTTACAACGACAATAGCACGTAAAAAGGACTAATTTGAACAAGGGTGATGATACCTCGGTAAGTCATTCAAGGTTTGAATCCTCGGTCCTTTGCCCGTTAAGTGTACGAGCTACGAATAGTGACAGAGCTACAACTTGATAAAATTCGAATTTTTTGTGATTAATAATTTATTTTAATGATATCATATACTCTAATTTTTCGTGTTTATCCTAAAATATAAGTTTTTTTTTCTTTGATTTATTACTTATTTTCCGTACGATATCCACAATAAAATTTTATTTGTATCTATCATATCTAAAAATTTTATGTCGTTAACATATGTGTGTCATTCTAAAAAAATATTTCTAGATACGTCACTAACTACGAACAAGGAACTTAAGATCCAAACTCGTAAAATTAAAAACAAAGTGGGTTTCCGTCTTAAGCTGTACATCTAATCTGAATTCCAAATGCAACCCTTTATCGATTATCAATTATTTTGTCCAGTCCTGAGCACTGATCTTACTGTATTATCTTAAAATAACGATTGTAATATCAAACTGGGACGACTATGTTAATTGGATTACCAAATATTAGAAGCTTTGTTAATGATGTTTAACAACGGCTTATAATGATTGCTTCAAAATAGAAGTTTAGCGGGGAGAAACAGAGTTAGGGGGACATTTATTTTACGAAGTATAAAATTATCTATGAAAAATATAAATATCAAGATGTGAGTTTACAAACATATCACTAAGTGGGGATGAGTCGAGTAAAAAAATTCAAGTTATTCGAGTTGACGAGTCGTATTTTACAACTCGAACTTAACTTGAATTTTTTCGAGTCGAGTTTAAGAAATTTGAGTCGAATTATTTGAGTTGAGTTATTTGAGTTTCTATGCTAATTTTATTATAATTATTTATAGTATTATGGTAAGAATTTGTTCCAATTTAACCATATAAGACATATATATTTCATATTCTTTCCATATTATAATGTTGTTTAATATATTAAATACAATCTAAAATATTGATGAGAAGAAATAATTTACAAACAATTGCAGTCAAAATACCAAATTAAGTAAAATGCAAAGTTAAGGGATTAAATAAAAAGAGAGAATACATTTTTAGTAAAAAAAAATAAGAATTGAAATTACATAGGTATTCTATAGTGGTATATGAGCATGTGGTTTAAATTTGGTAAAAACAGATTTAAAATAAAGGATGAAGAAATAAGGAAACTATAAAAAATTGGGAGACTAAATTGAAAAATAAAAAACTTGTTATTAAAAAGAGGAATTGAAAGTACTACATATATATATTTTACGATAGTTTAGGAGCATTTGATTCAAATTTAGTAAAATAGTAGACTTAAAATGAAGGAAGAATTGAAGGAACAATGAAATTATGGACTAAATCGTAAAATTGTCAAAATGCTTAATCAAATTTTCGGTTTTTTGAGTAACTCAAAATTTTCAAATTCAACCTCGACTCGAACTCAAAAACCGAATCGATAAGTCAAGTTGACTCGATAACTCAAAATTAAAAAACAAATCAATTTTTCGAGTCGAGTATAGTTTTGCTCATCCTTGTCGCCAAGAATGTTATGTTATACAAACTTGTTTGATACATTTCCAAATAATGTTTATTATAGAAGTTAAGAAATGAAGCAAGATAAATAATGTCATTTCTTGTTAACAGAGAGAATGTAATATTACCTAAAACAAATGTACCCCAAATGGCAAGTATGGGGTAAGACCGAAGATACAGAGTTCATTGGATCAAATCACCTTCAATCACCTTCCTGTTCTCTGTGTCCGATTTGTGAGGTTTTTATTTAGCATAACGAGAGCTTAAGATAAAAGCTCAGGCCTTGCCTGTTTTGAGAAATCCCATTCCTCGGATAAAGCTCTCAATTACCGTAAACCAATCCAGACAGCTAACATTCAGAAAAGAAGATCTGATCACCCCATAATAACCCAAACCCAAAGGCAGGTTCGTATTGCATATGACGCACGGACATGCCTGAGTAACATAAATTTATCCATTGGTGTAAGCAAACACGAATCGAAGGATTCGTCACGTGTATATTTTTCTAAATTAATTTTAGGTGAATTTTGTAAAAGAGGGGATCAAAATTAAGATAAAAAAAGGTCAGTACACTCGTATCGACTCGTTTTGAGATCTTTCAAAAAAAAAATCGTTTTGAGACATTCAAAATTATCATTATATATTTTATTTTAAATTTATTATTATATATATTGTTTAAAACTTTTAATTATTTTTCTCTCTATAAAAAAGGAAAATTCGTTTGGATTTGATAGTGTCGTTAATTAGGGAAAGAGTAATATTTGGGATTAGAAGCTAATTGTTTCATAATGAGTGGCTGGTTTTGCTTAGATTCATCTGTTTTGTCTACATAGATATTCTAATTTGATTTAAATTTACTTATCATAAGATCGTTAATTGCTCGGCATAACTCTGATTTTTTACTACTTTTCTGGGTTTTTATTTGATTTCTTTGTTTTTTTTGTATGGATCTAAATTATTCAAGTCGCATCTGAGACAGGTTTAGCACCGAAATTTTAAGAGGTTTATGAGAGCGGATGGAACATCACTACTGCCGGGACAGGTCAGATTCGGATGTGAATTTGGAAAATCTGATCTATTTTGCCCATACCTAACCTATTTAAGACTATGGGCCATTTGCAGCATTGGCATCCTCCCAACACTAAAGAGGCATCAGCATTCTAAATGCATTACAGAGTGAAAACCAAAAGTGATTATTGACCACATACTAACTTCTATGCACACGTTTCAAGGTTCAAGTGGCCTTTCCAGTATTAGACTCCATCGGCAATTTTAAATAACAGTCGTTTAAAAAATGGCTATCAAGATGCTAAATTTTTCTTCAACCTAGAGACCAGTATTAGACTTCATCATCAATGAGGCCTTGAGGACACTGTAATTACAAAAGTCTTGTCCGGCATTCACAATTTAATCCAACAAACTGGCGAACATGATTAACAAGAGCATCAGTCGCCAAAGCAACTCACCAGCTTGGCAGAAAACGGAAATAATTTTCTTTCAATGCATTCACAAAAGTAGGCACTTTTGCGGAAGATTGAGTGAATAAATCCAATGTAGAATGGTGACTGATAAGGCTACTTCACAATGCTTGATTTGATCGGAGACTTCACACTAATTTCATTGGTAGCAGAACCGAAGCATTATTATAAATTTTTAAGTAATGACTCCCGCTGAATAGATCACCCTAATTCATTTCATCACATAAAAAGCAACATACAACTAGATATTATTTGGTATCCATCACACTGAGCTCAGAGTTACAAAACATTAAATAACGTTGCAGCTAAAGCAGACACGTTTCTTATTGTTTCTATTATCAAGATAGGATCTCCCTATTCTGACGATGTGCAAGATTTACTCTCTAATCATGTAAATTCTCTAAGAAAGCTATCAAGGCATTTACATGGATGAGAGAACAAAGACGGGATATAGCGACACAATTCTAGGCTCTAGCTCTGCATAATCATTCAGCATGCAATTCATATCCAAAATAGCCTCACCTATATTCAGAGCTTGATCAATGCTGCGCCCATTGAATCTGCTTAATATCAATACCTTCCTTCACCATCTCATAAAGCGGACTCATTTCCCTTAATTTCTCAACCTGTTTCACAGTAAGCTCAACTGCCTTATCAATCTCCTCCTCGGTAGTAAACCTCCCAATCCCAAACCTAATCGAAGTATGTGCCATATCCTCATCCACACCCAATGCTCTCAACACATAAGAAGGCTCCAAACTTGCACTAGTACACGCACTCCCACTAGACACTGCCACTTCTTTCAACCCCATCAACAAGCTCTCCCCTTCAACATATGCGAATGACAAGTTCAGGTTCCCAACATACCTCCTATCCATACAACCATTCACCACCACCCCATCAATCTTCTCCCTGATCCCATTCAACAACCGCTCTTGCAAACCTTTAATCCTCTTCTCATCATACTCCATTTCCTTCATCGCAACCTCACATGCCGCTCCCATCCCGACAACAAGTGGAGTAGGCACAGTCCCACTCCTAATCCCTCTCTCTTGCCCACCTCCATTCATTTGAGGCTCAACTCTTATCCGTGGCCGCCTTCTCATATACAAAGCCCCAACTCCTTTAGGACCATAAATCTTATGCCCACTTAAACTCATTAAACTAACGTTCCATTTCTCTACATCAACCTTAATCTTCCCTAAAGCTTGTGCAGCATCAGTATGAAAAGGGACGTTAAATTCTTTACAAATTTTACCAATTTCTTCAACCGGTTGGACCACACCAATTTCATTATTAACAGCCATAATAGAAACTAACCCGGTATCCGGCCGGATTTCTTTCCTTAATCTATCCAAATCAATAAGCCCATCAGACCCAACAGGCAAATAAGTTACCTCGAAACCTTCCTGTTGAAGATGCCGGCAAGAATCCAAAACGCATTTGTGCTCCGTTTGAGTCGTGATGACGTGGCGTTTCTTTTCTTTATAGAAATGCATAACGCCTTTGACTGAGATGTTGTTCGATTCGGTGGCGCCGGAGGTGAAGACGATTTCCTTAGGGGAAGCTCCAATTAGCGCTGCAACTTGTGCGCGGGCAGTTTCAACGGCGGTTTCAGATTCCCAACCGTAGAGATGAGTACGGGAGTGAGGGTTCCCGTAACGGGAGAGATAAAAAGGAAGCATCGAATCCAAAACCCTAGGGTCCACGGGTGTAGTCGCTTGCATGTCGAGGTAAAGCGGACGTCCCGAGATTTTCACACCTTTCATGGTGATCCCTGTTGGTTCATCGTTTCCTGCAGGAGAAGCGACGGCGACGGCGGAGGCGGTGGATAATCGGCGGATAACGGCGCTTGGCTTGGTCTTGGTTAGGGTTTGACGAAGAAGCTGCGAGGCCATTTCTCCTTTTTCTCCTGAAACTTTCTTTTCCTAATAAAAAATATCTTTTCAGCGTTGCAGGAAAGCAGAGTAGACGAGAGATAAGTGCGGGTGAAGAAAGGGTTATGATAAAACTACGATCACCCACTCTTTGTATGTCAATTATAACACGTGGGCCGATATCTGCCCCTTTAAGGAAATAAGTCGGTACCTTCAGAAGAGTTTATAGTTAGGTTAATTTGTGATTTTAGGTAAATTATCTAAATGACAAGTGATAAAATAAATTAATATTACAAGTCAACTGATAAAGTTGATTGAAATTAAAGAATTGTGATACAAGGAAGTTAACGTTATATTCTATAATCTAAAAGGTATATTAAACGATTTTGATAGTCAGTAGCATATTTTAAAATTTAAGAATGAATAGACCTATAAACAAATCGAACGCACACGAACGGAGATATGTTCATGTTCGTTCATTTAATAAATAAACGAACATAAATGAACATAAACATAAACGAACAAATTTTTTTTGTTCATGTTCGTTTATTAAGGAATATAACTTGTTCATGTTCATTCATTTAATAAATAAACGAATATAAACGAACACGAACATAAACGAACACGAACATAAATGAACACGAACATAAATGTTGGAGACTCTACCTTCCATTGTTCTTTCATGAAAAATAGTCGACAATGCAAATCAACCAAATCTACAGTGATAAATAGCGTAATAGCTGATTAACAGTGATGAAATGTTTGAAGATATCAAATATTTCGATCGATCTTATAAAGATATTAAATGATTCACACGACTTTAATTTAACGCTATAACATTTATCTTAGTGATCCAAGATTACATATGAACAATCATTTTCCGCTATTATACTCTTTTTCAAAAATTGCATAGAAACCTTTGTTTTGTTTTCTGTCAAATTCTATATATTTTTCTCTTTACTGATGCTCATATACTTTCGATTCTATTTCTAGAAAGAAGTATGATGTTTTCTTGAGTTTTAGATGTTAAGATACCCGCAATAACTTTACATATCAACTATTAAGCCAAATAAAACAGAAAAAGAGATTAAAACAGACCTGTAAAACTTCAGATTGCACTATAATATAACTTGTTTTGAAGCTTTCAGCGATCATCTCCACTCTACAGTGAATACTAGGGTTTGGGGAAAAAAAGGGGGAAAATGAATATAGGTGCGAGGTGCCTCACAGGTTAACATATTGGATTTAATCTCCAAATAAAATTGAGTTAATTATGGAGTTAGTTATAAGAATATCAGATTAATTAATATTTTTAAGATACTTACAAATTGGTCACCAAAATTGATTTAAGAAGATTGGGTTAAACATAAATGAATGAACATAAACGAACATAATCAAACGAACATAAACGAACATAACTGAACGTTCACGAACGTAAATGAACGAACGAGACATATGTTCATGTTCGTTCATTTAATTAAACGAACAAAAAATCTTGTTCATGTTCGTTCATTTAATAAATAAATGCACATAAACGAACTTCCCACCGCACGGTTCATGAATAGTTCGCTGAACGTTCAATTCATTTACAGGTCTAAGAATGAAGTTTAAGATTTTAATTTTTTTAAAGAATATTGGGTATGTAAAATTTTTATTTTCTTTTTCTTTTTTCTTTAACACAGCAAGTTAAACTCAATTATTTTTCCAAAATAATAGTATGCACTTGGCCCCTACCGGTGCTTAGTGCATCCGCCCTGTTGATAGAAAATGAATTATTGTTATTTTTTGTGGTCTCAGATTCGAGCATCAGAAATATCAAGGGTGTAAGCGTTCAATGTTAAATAGTTAAGAGTTATCATTAAAAAAATATTTCCTTGTATTTATCTCAGATTAATAAAAAAATTGTGTATTATTTAATAAATTTATAAAGCACGAGATTGAATTATATCAAATTAAATATATGGATTAAATTATAATTTAAGCATAATAGTGAGGGTCACAAACAAAATAAGACTGTATAACCCAAATTGAAAGCGATTGATCTGCAGAACGGCGTAGTATATAATGTAACTACACGCGCCATTAAGAGTGTGAAGACAAAAGAGAGAGATTGCGGGAGAATTTTTAGTTCTGTAGAGATCAACGGAATGCCATTTTAAGGAGCAGGAATGCACCATTTATGTGTTCCAAACTCTCTGATTTTGCATTTCTAGATCCAATCTCATTTTGTCACACACCCATAGCTTTTAATTCTTGAAATCAAGTTTCTTTTCTTTTTTTCATTTCGTCCAAATTACGGAAATATAACCATGCTCGGAATTTTCACTTTAAATGCAAAGAGTTTCCATTCTTAGTTCTTCCTGATCATTTTGGATTCCGAGTGAGTCTCTATCCAAGTTTTTTCAATTTAATTTTCAGTTGTTAAAACTGGGTTTGCTTTTAAAATTTAAGTGGTGGATTCGTTTCAGGTTTTTAGTGCAGTTTTGATCCTGCATTGTATCATCTTTTCATTTGATCTCTCTTCATAAGACGTCTTCTTAACTTATGTTTGTCATTTTTACCTTAAAAAGACGTAAGGGTTAAATTGTTAAAGCTGTAAAAGCGTTGGATTCCTCTTGTTTGAAAGGTGTTCCATTGATATATTTTTGGAATTTTGTCAACCCTCCTCTTGTTCAATCATTATTTATCGTCATTTTCTGTGGATGGGATCAGTTGTAATTGTTAATATTAGTGTGTTCGATCATATTCTCATATGGAAATTTGAATTGAATATATTTGTGTTCATGGTAAACTACCATTTGAGCTTTAGTTCATGTGATGATCTGTACTTTCTTTTTTGTTTTCTTTCTGTCGTGTTAGCCAATGTTCTCGATGTTGTAATGTATGACTGTGTGTAAATACAAAAGAGGTGATGTTTTATGGTGTTTTGGGGCAGGCTCGTTGGAGGGAGTGCACCATGTTGAGGGTTTCATCCTATAGGAATCAAAGATCCAAAGGGTTGAAGGTAAAACATGCTCTCCAAATATGTGTTCTGGTTGCTATTTGCATTTGGCTGCTTTACCAAGTTATGCACAATAGTGAGAAGAAAGCCGACTACGAGAAATCCACCAAGGAAGTCATAATGTTGGGGAGAAAGGACCTTCCTCAAGCAGAGGAAACAGCTATTAAGGATCTGCGGGTCAAGGATGAAGGCGAGGAAGCAGGGAAGATTGGAGAAGAAGATAACAAGCTTGAGGAAACTGAAGTGTAGGAAGAGGGAATGGAGAGGATGATGTGATGGGCAAGCACGATGATGTTAAGGCGGAAGAGGAAGCTGGTCACGCAGAAGATTCTATAGATGGAGAGAAGGAAAATGAACAACGTCTGAACACGAAGATTGAAGAGAAGGAAAGCGAAGACCTGGAGAGTGAAGGGACTAAAGAGAATGTTAGCAAAGATACAGGGTTAGAAGAGAGTAAAGAGGACACTGAAAACAAGGCGAGTGAAGTCAATGCAGAGGACGGGGAAAATAAGGCACTTGAGGGGAAAGAAAACACCAAGGAGAGTCGAGAGAAGGAAAATAACCATATTGGGGAAGAGAGTAATGCAGCAAGAAGCGGCAACAAAGAGATTGAGAAGAGTGGAGGTGAGATAGAAAATTTAGGTGCTTCAGATGATCATGTCCGTGATGGAGCTGACAGGAAAAATGGAGAAGCAAGAGAAGAACACTACAAAGGGGGTGATTCTTCAAGCTAAGTAATCCATGATACTCAGCATGTATCAGTTGAGAATGAGACTGGTGGTTCAGGAAATTCCAACCAGTCTGAGCAATTGGAAAACAGAGGTAAAAATGAATTTGACCAGGAGAAAGGATCAAATAACAGTGAAGCAACAAATGTCCATCTTAATAAGTCAAACGTGCAGGAAAATGAAACCGCTGAAAACTATCAAGAGAGTGGTAATGAGAGCACCGACGCTTCAGTGACGGATGCAAACTCAAATGAGCACCAAAATGGTAGAGAAGCAACATCAAATTCAACTCAGAATGAAAATGATCAGCAATTGGAGAAATCCAAATCAGGTGGTGATGGCGGACGGTTAGATTTAAATGCAATTGCTACTTTAACTGAGCACATGAATGGAGCTAACAAAGGTTCTGCAACCTCTACCAGTAACACTGAATCTGTTGAATCAAATGGACAGTGTCGTAACCGGTTTTCGTCCGGGCACGAAATTGTTTTACTTGGCGGGAAAAGTGATGTGAATAAATGTTTTTTTTTTAAATAATTTGGGAGTCGCCATCGGCCTTTTGGGCCAGGTAGGTCAAATACCTAAAAATCATCTTTTAAAAGAGCTTTTAAGAAAACATCGATTAAAAGATAAACTGATATGCGTTTTAACCAAAAATTCATTCTTTTTAATAATAAAAATGGATTCGTGGTCGGTTACGTTTAGGGAATGATTAACACCCCTACAACGCCCAAAATTAGTACTTTTTTTAATTACAAATTGTCTCTAATAATAGAATTTTAAGAATTCAAATATATTTAATTTATAATTATGTTATTTCAAATTTTATTAATATAATATTTAAGAAAATATATTAATATATTTATAAAAATATTTATTTATTTAGAAATATCAGAAAAGGACTTCTAGGTGCCTTAAGACATCTCTTTTCTTCGATATTAATAAATAAATGACTAAAACATTTTCTTAAGATAATAAAAATTTATTTTAATATAGTAAAATATTTATTTTAAAAAAATATCAGAAAAGGGCTTCTAGGTACCTTAAGACAGCTCTTTTCTTTGATATTAATGAATAAAAATAAATATTAAAATTTTAATAATTTAAATAAAACTAAATTATAATTTTTATAATGTTTAATTATTTAAAATACCAGAATAGGACATCTAGTTGTTTTAAGACTGCACTTTTCTTTGATATTGAAAATAAATATACATTATTATTTAATATATATATATATATATATATATATATATATATATATATATTATATTAATTTATGTGACTAATATGAAAATAATAATAATATAAAAGTAGTAACAAATTAATATTATAAATAAATAATATTTAAAAT